ATGATAATACAGTTGCTTTGCCCATCAAATTTATTGTTGACAGGGTTTTCTATCTTTCTGTGGATGTGTCGGAAAGCAAGGCCAGACAAACAGAAAGAAGCTCATTCCAAGTCTTTATCCACTGTGGATACCTTCATCATTGAAAAACAAAAGGAATAGCCTATGCCTAACATTTATCAACCAAAATGACCAAAGCTCATTAAATGGCATGTGTTTAAACTGTTTTATGGTTTCAGATTAATGTTCTCAATATTTTATTTATTTATTTATTTTTTATTTTTTATTCATATTCCATACGGTGCCTCTAGAGGAGAAACAATTCCACACTCTGGCTGTGTCTGAAATCGCCTCTACACCCTTATCCACCTCATTTTGCGATGCAGAAGTAAGCTGTTTTCTTTTAATGTGCGATTCATTAGCTGCTATAGGTAAATAACTAGAAGAATAACAAGTGCAGTAAACAGTAAATCCATTTCCACAACAAACCAGTATGTTTATGATTTTGACAATGAATTAAAATAATATATCAAATGCCAGTTTGCGATATAAAGCAGCATAACGGACTGCTTTTGTAGGGGTAAAATAACTGGGAGTGAATAACAACGGAAGCCTCACAAATTCAGGTTAGAAATGACCGCACCCGCTCTTATGATAAAACTACGGTGAATACAGTGTGCCATTTCAAGGGGACAGCCATTTGTAGTGGTTTCTGAAACCACAGTGCTCATTCAATCCCAAAACGCACCACAATACCAAGTGTACCACCAATATACACTCAATGGCTAGAGAATACATGTAATGCGCTGGGAAGGCCCCAATATATTTCAAGTGAAATCAAACTCCTGTCACATCATTTCAAACAAAATAAAACGTCCAAATACTGTTTTTCACATACTATATAGTACATACTACATATTTGAATGCAACGTCACTGTCTGAATTCACCACTCATTTTCATTTACTCACTGGACTAATGTTGGGAATAGTGAATCAGGGTATGGGGCGATTTTGGATACTTTGCTATCATTTCCTTTGTTCCAAATCTGTGTGACTTACTTTCTCCTGCAGAACACAAATGATAATATTTTTTGAACAATTATCAGACAACTGTTTTGTCTATACAATATAAAAATTAGTGGGGTTCAAAAATAACATTTCAATCTCGAACTTTAGAGACTTTCACTATATTCACTGTACAGATGTGCAATGCTAAGTATTTCCCTTATGCTATTCGTAGTAAATAAGAAGACTGGTAATAACCTACCGTTTTTCTATACTGTACATTTATTTAAATTGCATGTTTCATTGAGTGTTTGATTTAAAAATAATGGATTCTAATACAAAATTGTAAATGCACTGTTTTTATTTAAATTTAGCAATAAAGCCAAGTTTAAAATGCTGAGTTGATGTGTGGGTCTGTTGAGTCCAGTAGCAACACAAAAATATTGCCAGTACATATTAACTAGTGATCCTGTAGCTCAAACAGTGCAACATGGCACTAGCAATGGCATCAACATGGGTTTGATTCCAGCCAATGCATAAACTGATTAAATGTATACCACTGATGCAATTTAAGTTGCTTTGTACAATATAGCTACAATATAAAATGCATTCATAAACTATTCAGACCCCTTCATTTTTTAAACACATTTTCTTATGATGCCTAATGCTAAAATGTTTCAAAGTAGAATTTTTGTTTGTTTGTTTCAGTCTATACTCCATACCGCATTATAGGGAAAGGAGTGTAGAATGATGATGATTGGTGATGAAAATAACTAATTTTAGCATGAAGCTGCAAAAAGTGAAAAAATCAAGGGGTCTGATTATATTCTTGGCACAAGCTATAGCACAATACAGTGTTCTGTGGTTAATTTTTAATTTCGTGACATGATTTTAAAACTGTAGGTACACAAGAAACATGTCTACCACATTTAAGCAGGTTTGGGTAAAACTGCAACTGTTGAGAAGTACCTCAAGATCATCCGTCCTCTAACTGCTTGACATGTCTGCTGCGTCTGACACTGCATTCGACAGATATGTTAGTATGCCAATGTAAAACTTTTAGTTCAGAATATTTGCATACAAGGAAAACGAGCAGAGAGATATTTAAATGTCAAAACACCAAAATGCAAACAGTCATGACAGAGATGATGTTATTCAATTTCTTAATCAAACTGTACTATACTCCTGAGACCCTGCATCCTCATATAAGGACGTTATATTTTAGTGGATTTCTCTGAGACTATACATGCCACAGTTTTAAGTCTAGATGTCCTGTACAGAGCACATTCAGGGCTTTTCAGAGATACTAAATGTTTGGATGTTTCACCATGACCACTCCCTCTCCTTGGTCTTCAAATATGTCTAATATTAATTTAGTGACACTCTTATGGAAATATGATCATATTTTGTAATTATCATTTAAATCTGACTAATTTTTAAACTGTGTGTCATAAATCAACATCTCAGGAAAATGTTATGGGGTTTCAAATCAAAATATGACTTTCTGTTACGAAACAGGACGTTGATTTCATACATGTCCTCATATGAGGACACCGGGACTAAAAGCATATTTATTACGCATTTTGGGAGACACAACAAATGAATAGGGAAATAAAATATATTTCAATATTCCTATGAAATATTATATATTATTCTGAAAATCTTGTCAATTATTACACTTCTTTTTTCATTACATGTTGCCCCAAAAACACATTAATATGTAAATTAGATTTAGTTTATAGATACATTTTACATAATGAGAAAACCTGTTTATGGCCATTTTACACACATTTTGCATAAAGAAAAATGGTATATCAAATCATTCTGTTATAATATAGTTGAGAATTATCTTCATACAAAGTTTGGTTAAAAAAAAAAAAAATCCCGAAAACTAAAAATCTAGCATAGCGTTAGTTCTGGCAGGTCACGTTAGTCAAGCTCGCTTCAGCTGACTCCAGAACAGAACCATACCGCCAATCCAAACTGTATGCTAATTGTCAATCATCTTTAACGATAGTGGTCCTGACAGAAATGTATTGGCAATTTTTTTTATTTTTAAATCTGTTGTTTTTGCCTATGCATGTTCATTCATGTCTTTTTATTATTATTATTTTTTTTAATTGAGTCCCGATGTCCTCTATCAAGGACGTAGCATAACTTATGAATGAAATATATATATATATATATATATATATTTTATTGTTTTTACATTTTTTTAAATGCTCTAAACAATGTAATGACATGAAAAAATACTAATTTTTTTCCTAAAATGTTTTGCCGGGTCTCAAGAGGCTATGTTTGGACTCGTTGGATTTTGTGACACTTTTTGTTACATATCCCAACTAATGCAAAAAAAAATTGTATTTTGACTCTGAATAATGGAATTCACTGAATTTAACATCAGTCTTTTTTTTTTTTTTTTACTTCTTTTCCTAGATCACAGAACTTAAAATTACTTTTTGTGAGCTAGTTTGTGTTAAAATGTGAGAGATTAAACTCTTTTTTAGTACTAAACTTTTGTTAAATAATTTCCGTTGTTATTTTTTCCAAAGATATGTTACAATCAAATTGTGCACCCTAGAAGGTTAGCATAAATTCAACACAAAAAAAGTGAAACAAATGAGTGGAACACTGGCATGGACGGCGGCAATAATTGAATAATAGACGTCTTTAGTGTCATCTAGTGGCTGGTGAAGGGAGCCACATCTCCTTACATTGTCGAACATTGTTTGAAATGAACATGTTTCGTAACACTCCAAAGAGAAAGGAAAACTTGAAATCGCATCATATGACCCCTTTAAAACAGATCTCTTCAGATAATGTCATAGAGATTTCTGGGTTACCTCACTTGGCTCAGCAAGTAGAAAGCGTCACCTTACCAGCAGAAATAATATTATAGAATAAATATAACATCAAGCCATAAATACACAATATGTTCACATAAACGGAACATTTTCCTTAAAGGAACAGTTCACCCAAAAATGCTATGGAAAAAGCCATGTCTTATAGTTAATAGGTTTAAAATGTTCGTATTTTTCAGACCTACCGTTTCGTTTCGCATTCGTTTTTGATGAACTGGGGTCTTTATTACCGTCACGACTGGCATGTGTGTGGTTTTTTTGGGGTTTTTTTTTGGAGCATCATCATTTCAGGACCTATAATCACTTACAATACTGTATATAGACTCACAGAAATTGATTGTATTCAGTAGTGTTTATTTGAATAAGAAAGTCATACACGTCTGGGATGGCATTAGGAGTATTTTCATATCCAAATATCTACAGAAAAGAAAGCCATATTTGGAATGATACAAGGGTAGCCTACATAACAGTGTACATGACAGAATTATTTCCTATGAAACCAAAAGGCAGTAGGCAAATTCATTCAAATGTTGCCGTTAACAATTTGCATTGGATTCATTCTAATCAATAACTACCAACATATTTTTTCCTGGAAGAAAAAAAAATCTAATTATTTTTTGACCATCAAGATGGGATGCCGGAAAGATCACCTCCCATAACAATAAAAAATTACGCTGACTTTGGAACAGCATTCTTGTACTCTTACAATGACAGAAATAGTAAGACAAATATGCTAGCCTGAATTTAGCCCATATCTTAGTCTCAGACAGCACATCCTCGGGCCGCTCACAGTCTGTGTACTAAATGTTTAATGCATATTGCATACAAAACTGGAAGTACTGGAAGTCCTGTCTAAGTGGGTGTTTGTTAACCAGAATAACCTGCAGTTTGCAAACAACTGTAGGCAGTACAGTTTCACTGGAGGAAGTGTTATTATGGATTATTTGATTTGTTTTTTCCATACCTTTTGAACATCACAAGACGATAATTGAAGGACTCTAACACAGTCTATTCTAGTCAGTAAAAGTCCCAAACATCATAATATGGTCATGATCGTCATATACAAAGTGCTAACAAGGCTTGTCGTTGTGCTCTGCTGTCATTGGAGCTCACTGGATATATCTGAAGCCATAAAATGTGAGTATGGCTGATGATCAACTCTCCGTTTGAGTTCTGAATCTTCTGTACAGAGCTGTCACCACTTCAACCTGCTAGGAAAACAGAAAGGTAAGTACGTTCTTATAGGATCATTTTGGAGTGTTCTTATAATTAAGTTACTTAAAGAGATCAAAATTTCGTTAATATATTGTGTTGTATTAAAATAGTTGTAAACTGATTCATTTTGGGGTATTTTTCTAAATGAACAAAGATATTTGCAAAAAAAAAAATATTATTATTCATAAAAAATTTATTCTTACCTCCATAAATCCTAAGATGTCCCAGAAAGCTGAAGATATTATACTTCTTCTACTTCTGATCATGATTTATGGCCCGAATGGTGGAGAATGCAACCAGGGTAACTATTAAAACCACTTACCTTCTTGTAAAAAAATAAAATTGATATGAAATTGATTCCCATTGCTAGTTTAACTACAAACGATTTCTAAAGCTCAAAGAGGTAATAAATGGTTAAATCCCTCTTCCTGAAATAAGAAATACTTTATCTAAATTTCCGTGTATTCTGAATATGTACTTTGATACTTTGGTTTTGTTCTAATAAGGACAATATTTGCATACAATTTCCATGGACATTCCCATAAAGTAAATAGGTTGATATTTTTTTATAGATACTGGGGAGACCGGTCCTCAGGCTTCTGACTTCATTGAATAGTTCTTTTAGGTATAGCTTTAATTTTGAAACTCAATTTTTTTAATAGAGCCTGCCATTTAACAGTCTATTATGGGATTTTCATTTATATATATATATATATATATATATACTAGTATATAAGCATTATAAAAAAGGAACTAAAAGATTTTTATAAATATAATATAAATGTTTTATAAAATTGCATTCTGTAAAACTGTGACAACCTGTGACCTATTCCCATCCCATCCTGACATTTATGAGTGATACTCTTGTCCTTGCCAGTGTGATATACAGTGCGTGCATAATGATTAGGCAAGTCGATATTTTGCTTATATTTTTTTATCCATTTCCATTTATATCCAATTACGAACCACATTAATCGTAATAAATACTATTAATTTTGTATACAGTCATTTGGAAGTTATATAATTGTTAACAAGGGTTGAAAGTGAAAAATGTCTTATATTTAGATGTGCATAATTATTAAGTAAAATAGGCCAAAAAAAGAGAGAGTTAACACACTGAAAAGTCAAAATTGATTAAATGCCCATGAGAAGGATGCAATACTATAGAAATTGTTAAATTAAGGTCTGGCCATTGGATAAGAAATGCTCATTGGGACAGCAGGGTCACAAAAAAAAAAAAAAAAAAAAAGGG